GCTCTGCTCCACCAAGTTTTTCTTGTCTTATCAAAGCAGGACTGGTGATAAGAAGGATATTGACAAGCTGGAATATGTGCAGAGGAGGGCAATCAAGATGACCAAGGGTCTGGAATGGAAACCAAGCCTTGAAGGAGCTGGGTATGTTTTTCCCGATAAAGAGAAGACTGAGAGGAGATATGATAGTCATCTGAAGATCCTTTGTTAAAGCTCAGTGTATTTTACAAGTTGATAAATGTGGCTACTGGAAGGGTTCTCAGAATAGAATCTGGAGCTTGAACTGAAAAAAGCTCCCCACCTTTGTGCTGCATGATCCTGAGTTTAAGTTTCAAGAAGCAACAGATACCTTCGCACAAATGGAGCATCTTTTTCTTAATGGTTCTATCACATGCAAGAGTTCTGTTCACCGCTAGGTGGAGCAGGTCTGCTTCTCACTCTTCTCTAGTAGCAAAATAATAGATGCAATATTTTCTGGCTACGGTAATGGAGGGCTGGGAGATGATGGAAATTCCTGCTGGATCCTGAGGTCAGTTGACATACAGGCTGACCGCTCCCTGCACTCAAACTGAAGTAACCTCCAGCCCAGTTTCTCCATCTTCAAATGTTTGGAGAAGAGACTTGTTTATCAAAACATTATTCGTTGCGAAACTAGATCCTGTGGTAAGCCACAGCAAACACAGGTGGCAGCTAAAAACCTCTGCTTCAAAGGCTCTCGCTATAATAACAATGACAGAGAAAGAGGCCACATTACCAACTTGAAAAATACCTTGAGCCTTAACAAAAGATCTTTAGCCAGCTGAAACGCAAGCCTTAGCTTTTAAATTAGAAGTACAAACCATATTGCAATGAAGGCTTGCCATTTAAACTGTTAGCATGAAGTAGAAACCCCATCAAAGGAAAGGACAGAAGTACCTAGCCTCTGCTTGATCATTTACCTCATTCATGTCATTATGATCTTAATGAAAATATTTTTTTTACAATCTTGTGGCATATATATTTTATGAAATGAAAGCATTTTGACTTATAGCTTCAATTTTCTTTTCCTTTCCTTTGAGGAACAATGTAACAACCCTGTGAGGTAGGTTAGGCAGAGAAATGGTAGCAAGCCATTGGGGCTCGTGAGGGATAGGAACGCTACTCTTTCCCACAATACTCCTGCTGCCACCCCACACTTACATGGCAAAGCTGCATCTGGCCAGCACCACCACAAACAACAAGCAGCGCTTCCATCAAATGTCCCATAAGACTAAAGATTCCACTACACAGAAAACTAGGAATTAGGGTAGCCACATGTCCCAATATACAGAGGATGGACCTCTATTTATAGGGGTACCTTTAATGCTGAGGTTAGTAACATGGAACCTGTGAGCACCGAAGTGTCCTATGACAGTGTGGTGTAGTGGTTAAGAGCGGTGGACTCGTAATCTGGTGAACCGGGTTCGCTTCCCCGCTCCTCCACATGCAGCTGCTGGGTGACCTTGGGCCAGTCACACTCAGCCCCACTCACCTCACAGAGTGTTTGTTGTGGGGGAGGAAGGGAAAGGAGAATGTTAGCCGCTTTGAGACTCCTTCGGGTAGTGATAAAGCGGGATATCAAATCCAAACTCTTCTTCTTCTTCTATGGCATCTCCATGTTGCACCCCGAGTGTGAATTTCTCCTAATAGACACGTTTTTGTATGTAATTTTGCCTCATGCAGACAATTTTGCAATGCAGTTTTCCTAAAAAGAATGCATTTATGTGAGTTATTTTCACCAACATATGCCCTTTTATGTACGCTTTACCCTAGTAAGTGCATTTTTATACTCATTACCTGAATCATAGAATTTTGAATAGTAGAGCTGGAAGGGGTCACGAGGGACATCTAGCCCAACTTGCTGCAATTCAGGAATCTTTTGTTGAACGTGGGGTTCGAACACACAACCCTGAGATTAAGAGTCTCATGCTCTACTGACTAAGCTAGCCGAGCACTTCTTCTCAAAAGCTGAAAAAGTGTGAATTTCAAAGGACGGCTGAATTTTTGTTCCCATCTTGTTTCACAAAGTGCGAATTCAGTAAGTTCATCGTTAAATGCAAAATGAATTTCTCCTCCACCCTTGACTGAATCTGCACGTACACACAGCAATATCGGTGAAACCTAAATGCACTTCCTTCGTAATTCTAAATGTCAAAACATCTCCTCTCTTTTCTCCCACCATGCATGTTGTCTCAAGTGGGGTCAGGAAAAGAACGGTCAGTAACCTGGGCCTTGCGATGATGCAGCCAGATGCTTCTGAACTGATTTATTGGCATCTGATAAGCAATGCTTTTTAAAATTCTTTTATTCAAGAAGAAGAAGAAGAAGAAGAAGAAGAAGAAGAAGAAGAAGAAGAAGAAGAAGAATTATTACCATACTTTTCCATCTATAAGACGCCCCCATGTATAAGATGCCCCCTATTTTGGGGGACTGAATTTTCAGAAAATGGGAGGAGATGGCAAAAAGTTGTTGTGCTTTTTTGCTTTTTTTTTTTGCAGAGAATTGCCCAGACTTAATGAGGTTTTTTTTGGGGGGGGGTCACCAAGGGTTGTTAAGCTTTTTTAAGGGGGGAATGCAACAAACGCATCACAAAATCCATCTCCCGTCTGTCCCCTCACCAACAGAACTTGCCAATCACCCGCCCATTTGCCACAGCATCGGCCAATCAACCACACCCATTGATGCAGCAACCAATAACACGCACAACAGCCGCTGACAGCCGCGGCAGAAACCATTCAAACATCCACCCTATGCACTACCCATGTATAAGATGATCTCCACTTTTTTGCATGATTTTTAAGGGGGGGGACCTTGTCTTATACACGGAAAAGTACGGTATATACTGCCTTTCATCTGAAGACCTCAGGGCGCTTCACAAGATAAGAGCTTGCTGGATCAGGCCAGTGACCCACCTAGTCCCGCATCCTATACTCACAGTGGCCATCCAGACGCCTGTGGGAAACCAGCAGGCTGGATTTGAGTGCAAGAGCAACGCTCGCCCTTCCTGTGGTTTCCCGCAACTGATATTCAGAAACATTGCTGCCTCCAGCTGTGGAGGCAAGAGCATAGCCCTCATAGCTAATAGCCCCTTTTCCAGTACATTTCCCAGGGCCTCTTCTCTTTTTTCTTCCTCCTGATAAGTTCCAGATGCAGCCACTCACGCCTCCAAATTAAATCCTTCACACTTGCCAGGCACGCCAGCCTTCTCTCCTGTCTTTGCCTCTCTGCCAATCCTGGTGGCTGCCCCCTCCCTCTGCCCAAGGTGTCAGAATTTCACTAAGCAGCACTGCTGTCCTTGTAAACAGATTTGTACTGGCGTTGTTCTTCCACAAAAGCTCTCTCAGGGGGCTGTGTTTTGCAAGCCATCAAGGGGGAAAAGGCAGATGAGGAACCGTTTGTGCCCGGTCCTTACAATCACAGAAAGAAGGTGGGTCCCCAAAATATCCACCTCAAGTGTCAAAACCAGGGTAGAGAGCCTTCTTTCCACAGTTTGGTGCCCTATTTTGGACTGCAAGTCCCACCAGCCCTGGAAAGCATGAGGTTGGGGAAGGCTGCCATGCAATGCCCCGTTGTTGCCATCTGACCAGAAAATGAAGCCTGGCCTGCTCTTCTGCTTTTAGCAGCAGCAGCAACAGCAGCAGCCTGGTCTGTAGAAATCTGCCAGAGAAATTTCTCACCACGGGATTGTATGTGAATGTCTGCACAGGAGCAGAAGAGGTTTTAAAAGCCAGCAAAGTGGGGGATAAGCAAGGTTGCCAACTTGCAGGGGGTTCCTGTGCCTTTGAGTTAAATTTGGCCTATGAGGTTTTCACACAAGACTCCATGGGATAGCTCAGTTGGTAGAGCGTGAGACTCTTAATCTCAGGGTTACGGATTCAAGCTCCATGCTGGGCAGAAGAATCCTGCATTGTGGGGGGTTGGACTAGATGACCCTTGGGGTCCTTTCCAACGCTACAATTCTATGATTCCATTAAAAAAGGTTTTTGGCTCTTGAATTTCTGTGTAGCATTTCACTGTCAAGAAGCAGGGTTCTTGCAAAAAACAAAAACTGGCAACCCACAAGTCTAAAACGCTGAATATTTCCATTGCTCTTAAACTGAGGGCTTTGCTTCTACTTCTTAAAACAAAAAGAAAGAAAAAATGAATACTTGCAATTTTAAACAACTATACCTATTAAATATATATTGGGGGTATGTACAAGGGATGCATCCCAAGATGTCTAGCCCCAAATTTTGATGGAGTTCCACCTTTACTGACAGAGGCTGGCTGCTTCTGAATGGCAGTTGCTTGTACTCAGAAATGGGGAGAGGGCTGTTGCCCTCAGGTGCTGCATAGGGGCTCCCCATTGTGGCATCTGGTTGGCCACTGTGGCAACAGGATGCTGGACGAGGTGGACCACCGCTGGCCTGATTCAGCAACCGGGCTCTCTGTTCTTTTGCTAACCTCAGCCAAAGAGCCTAGGTCTACTGTGGATTTCACTACCTTCCCGTCAGAGGCAGCGGTGACCACCAACTTGGATGCCTTGTTGAAAGATTCATAGAAAACCAGCGGCTACTAGCCGTGAAGGCTCAATGTCCTGAATATCAGCTGCTGACTGAACTCAGTTCCTCTTTGTGGGCTTCCCACGGGCATCGGGTTGGCCCTGATCCTGCGGGGCTCTTCTTAGGCTCTTATAACGCACCTTCCCTTCCCAAGGTGGTATTGCGCAAAGTTGCACCGACGGAGCACCAAAACGCCACCGGTTGGATTTCTTCCTGCGATGCAACTATCGTGACCGCGAGGCTGGCAAACCCCATCCCAGGAAGAAGTGGAAAGTCAGTGAGTCTCTCCTGGCTGCCGTGAGACCCCCCTCGCTTTACTTTTTTTCTCACCCTCGGCCACAAAGCCGAAGTATTTCCTCCTCCTCCTCCTCCGACGCTCCAGGCTCTTCCCAGCCGCCCACCCGCTCCAGGAAGGGGGCGGCTCAGGAGACCGAGGTGCGACGCCGGATTCTCTCCCCTAGGGGTCGTCGGAGGAGGCGGCGGCGGCTACCCAGGAGGACTGGGCTGGACGGCGGCCGGCTTCGGAAAAGGGCTGTGCAAAAGCGGCGCTCTCGAAGCTACAGGAGCGCATCGCTCTCCCCTCTCCCTGTTCCTCCTACGGCAGCGGGCAGTTCACTGGGCCCGCAGCCACAGGCACGTGCGGCGGCTGCGAGGGAGGATCGCCGGGGAGGAAGGGAAACTGCTTGGTCGTGAAGAAGCCGGCTCAGCTGGGCGACCCGCGTCCGGGTGAGCGGGGAATGGGTGGGTGTGGAAGATTGGGCACTGGAACGATTCAGGAAACCCGAGGAAGGGATTTGCTCCCGGGACATGGTTCCTTTTCATAGGTGGTGGCGGGGCTGCGTTCCAGGGAGGCAACGCAAAGCGGGTCCCCTAGACGGAGCGGGGACGGATTGCGCAAGCGAAGAGGCGAGAATTTGGAGAGGGCACGGGTGCGCACGGGGTGGGGGTGGGGGCCTGGAGGAAGGTGGGGAAAGGTTGGCTGGATGTGGGGCTGGGGAATCCCGGGCTGGTGAAAAAGCGCGATGAGCAACCAAGAAAAAGAGCCGGGATTGCCGAGGGGACGGGAGGCGGGAGGGCGAGACGAGGAAGAGCGATTCTTGGAAAGGCTGCCTTCCCAGAAGCGCTCTTGGGAGGAAGCCTAGAGGGCGCGCACCGGCGAGGCGAGCGCGGGAGGAAAGCGAGGAGGGGCTGCGGCGGGGGGAGATCGGCCAGGATCCGGGCCGAGGAGGAAAATCGCCCGCGGAGGAGAAACGAGGAGGGCTGCCCGGCCCTTCCCCATCAAACTCCTCCCCGTCTGGGCAACCCCGGGGTAGGTGGCGAAGCACGTGGCCGCGCGGGGTCTTTGCCGGGCGCCCCTCCGCCTCCTCTCGGTGAGAGTCTTTGCATCCTCCGGGTGTTCCCCGCGTGGCCAACCGACCCCCTGCGAGAGGCGAGGCGCGCCCAGGCTGCCTGCCTGCGGGGCCCGTGGAAACACCGAGGCGAGCCGGGCGTGGCGGCGGCGGCGGCGCCACCTCCGGCTCCCTCTCCCTCTCTCTTTTCTGCCTTCCACGCCCCAGTTAGCCATTGTTTGCTGGCAGCCGTCGGGCAGGTGAGAACTGGTCCGGAGCAGGGAGGAAGGGAGGGAGAGAAGGCGGGGAGAAACAGCAGCAGCGAGGCTGAGTCCTTCCTGCGCGAAAGGAGGTGGGTTGCAATTTCCCTTCGCCCGCAATCTGGAAGGTTCCCACGACCACCCCCAACCCCCCTCTATTTGAAGGGGCCAGCTTGTGAACTCGGGGAACGAAACGCTCTTTGCGCATGCACCAAGGCACCTCCGCCCCACAACTTGTATTTGCTTTAAGGTTGCGGCAGCATCGTGAGAACCCCACTTTGAACTCCACGGGGCTCAAATGTCGGTTGAAGATGCATAGGATCAGTGGCTGCTAACATGTTAAGGGCTGAGCCTGCAACTGAGCACGTTTTACCTGGGGGACTCGCCCCGCTTCTCAGTTGTTGACGCCCTTTCCCTACAGAATGAGACTCTTGTGTGTGGAATTGGGAGAGTTTTAAGGTTTGAAAAGGGTTCATTTGCCATCCGGCTTCACTTGACAACCTGTTGCATGGTCAGATTTTGCTGTGGGGCATATGAAGCCCTAGTGCCTTTGAGCATTACAGCATTCCAACTAAGGACCTAGCCAGACCATTTCTGCAGTGGGGTGTGTGTGTGTGTGTGTGTGTGTGTGTGGTTAAGAAAAGTTGTTCCTGGTGGTGATAGGAGGCTTCACTGTCTCTCCCTTTGTGATCTCTCCATCCTATACCCCTCTCTCCATCTCCTCTAGCAGCCCCTTCCAAATCAAGTGCTTAATTTTGAGCCTCAGCAGAGGGGAAGTCGCTGTGCATTTGCATTGCAAAAATGGGCAGCAGGGAAAGGGTTAACTGCCCCTCTTCTCTCCTCCCTCTTGAAGAGCTTTTCTTGTTTAAAAAACAAAAAACCACCACACGATCTTTCTCTCTCTGCTCCTGCTATATTTGCCTGCAACTTGTAGCTACAGCCCCACAGTAAACATAAACAGTCCAATCAGATCTGGAATTCGGGGACAAGGATTTTTGAGGTCACAGATTTGTAGCTTGGCAACTCCTGTTTTAGAAATTCAAGAACTAGAAATGAGATTATCGTGTGTGTGTGTGTGTGTGTGTGTGTGTGTGTGTTGTAAGGGACCGTTCTTTTATTAAAAACAAGAGCAGCATAAACGAGAGCCATCTGGCTACTTAAGGGAACGGCTCTGAATTTGCAGATTCCTCCACTCTGTGTTTGAATTTGGGACTTCTGGGAGGTTTCATTCAAAGGTTCACTGCAGTGGGATGATTTTTGCTGTGATCCTGGAAAACCACCACCGCCCTGCCTAGGATTTTTTTTTTTAAAAAATTTAAATGCTGATGTTGCTGCTAGCCACACAATTCATGTAACACATAGTTTGACCCCAAGGCTCTTAGGCAGGTGTGCCAATTTGAATAAAATATTGTGGAGAGGAGCAGGTAAGCAGGTAATCGATCACATGGTGCAGTGCATGTGCACCATTTGAATAGCAATGCCCATCAAGTTGGGGGGGGGCAGCTCCCTCAAATAGAAGTTGGCTCCTATGCCCTTAGGCTTAGCTATCAGAATCTCTTTGGAGGCTCCCTGGGGACATATTGTAGTAATAATAATAATAATAATAATAATAATAATAATAATAATAATAATAATTTATTACTTATACCCTGCCCATCTGGCCGGGCCTCCCCAGCCACTCTGGGCAGCTTCCAACAGGATATTAAAAACACAACAAAAGATAAAACATTAAAAACTTCCCTAGACAGGGCTGCCTTCAGATGTCTTCTAAAAGTCAGATAATTGTTTATTTCCTTGACATCTGGTGGGAGGGCGTTCCACAGGGCAGGCGCCACCCCCGAGAAGACCCTCTGCCTGTGGGAAGCAGGATGCTAGTTTAGACAGATCTTCAGGCTGGCATTGAGCCCAACCCTGAACCGGGGCTCTCTGCTATTTGTATGTTCAGACATGGGACTCACTACCACAAGATGCAGTGATGGCTGGCAGCTGAGATGGCTTTCAAAGTTAGGCATATTAATGGAGGAGGAGGAGGCTCCAGGTCTATGACTACGAGGCAGGATGCTGCACTAGAGAGCAACTCCTAGCATGAGTGAATCTGTCCCATTCTGACATCATCTGGGCCATGGTGCATATTTTTTCTCTTGGCTACAGCTTCCACTCCCTCTTCCCCTGCCAACCACAAGATACTCTACAAAGGGCCAAAAAAAGCATTGGGGCCCCCACCCACACATGCTCACAACATGTTGCTTTCAAAGTGCTTCCATGCTTTCTTGCTGTGTAACCTCCTACAACAGCACCGTAGAATAGGTCGGTGTTGTTATGTCCACAATGCAGATGGAAAAGCTGAGGCTGAGTAAGTCAGGGTTGCCTCAAGATGAGATTCAGACCGGAGGGTTTTCATTGGGCAGTCTCTCAGCCAATGAACAAGAGCTCTCATTTATACACACCATCACATTTTTGAACTGGCCAATGAACACTATCCATCCAGGCAGGGAAGAAGCAATCTGTGTGAGGACAAATTCTAGCCAGGCAAAAACACTCAAGATGGGTGCAAAGCAGAGCCAGTGAGGGGTGTGGCTTGGGGATGGTTCTGGCGGCCAAGTGAAGAGGCCCCCCAGACCTGAGTTTTCCCACCTCTGAGGTAATAGATCCATCCTCTGAGAACTTTTTAAATCCTTTCCAGACTATCTATAGCTAGTGGCTGGGGCAACCCAGTCAGATAGGCAGGATACAATGATGATGATGATGAATTGCATATCCTTGCTCCATATTTCCAAACCTCCCCCCACCATAAAAATTAGGTGATGTATTCCAGAACTGGCTGAGCTCCTCTTTGCCTCCGCCACTAAGCAGAATTCCTGTTTGTCTTCGTCTTAACTTGGGCAGCTGGTTGTTAACCATTAAGAATAGATGTATTATCATCAGAAGCATATTGACAGCGGATTAGCAGCCACGTTATAAATAAGTTGCCCTTTGGGCGAAGACCAAGTGTGGTGTCTGTTCATTAGCACTTGGATTCTCTGAAGAGGCGGGAGAGAGAGAGACATCTCCGCGAGCTTTTTATTATTTGCATACTAGGCAAATCACACAGTGACTCTCAAATGAGGCCCCATAGTCAGCAATGCAACAAGCTTGCAGCACATCCCATCTGCGAGGGATGCTACTGAATAACAGAAGGGTGCAAGGATCTCAAAACAGCCACATCTTCCCACTGGGAAATAGACTTCCATTGTAGGTAGGCTTGCTCAAGGGAGCCTTTCTATTCAGGGCATGCGTTGTTGTTCGGCAGAAGTGCAATGCACCCAGCAGAGCATTAGCATTTCAGAAGCATTCAGGATTGAGTTGTGACACATAGCCTTGGGCAAGTCCTTGCTTCCACGACTGGTCCTACTTTGCAGGGTTGTTGTGAGAGGGATTTGAGAGGACAGCTGGAGAAGCTGGTTTCTGAAATAAAGCCAAGCACTTGGCACGCCCTTAACGCGAAGCACCGTGCTGTGCTTGGAAGGCTTACAGCCAGGATTGGTGACAAATGTAAGCCAAGCACAAGGAAAGACCTGCTGGGTCAAGCCAAAGGCCCATCTAGTCCAGTTCTCACAAGCACCAACCAGAAGTCTGCAAACAGGACCGAAGGGCAACAGTGCACACCCAAGATTTCCAGCAAGTGATATTCAGAGGCATGCTGCCCCCTACAGTGGAAGGAGAACATTCAGCCGTCAGGGTTACTAGCCATTGATAGCTTCCTCCACAAATTGGTCTAGGTCTCTTTTAAAGTCTTCCAAGTTGGCGACCATCACTGCCTCATGTGGGAGTGAATTTGACAGCTTAGCTCTGCTGTCTGAAGAAGCCCTTCCTTTTCCCCGCCCTTGTGATTTGCTTGCAAATTTTATGCATATCCTGTGTTGACTTCCTGAAGGAATCCTACCTAACAGGGCTGGTTTGACATGCTGGCACCTAGAAGCATAGAATTGTAGAGTCGGAAGGGAGGTCATCTAGTCCAACCCCCTGCAATGCAGGAATCTCAACTCAAGCATCCATGACAGATGGCCATCCAACCTCTGCCTAAAAACCTCCAAGGAAGGAGAGTCCACAACCTCCCCAGGGAGACCTTTCCACTGTCGAACAACTGTCAGGAAGCTTTTTCTATAGTAGATTGCTTGATGGCTGGCACCTGAAATGTGATAGGACGAGAGTATTGTATTTGTAGTCGTCCATGTGGCTGAAGGACAGTATAGGTTAGCACAGGCCTTGTCAATCGGGGGCCTTCGAACTAGAGCTCCTGTTATCCCTGATGAGAATTGTCCAAAACATCTGAAGAGCACCAGGTTCCTGAAGGCTGGGAGAGTGTGCCGGATGAGACCTGGCAGGACCATGGTACAAATTTTCCCAGCCTAGAGGTGGCTCAGGGGGTAGGTGGTGCCAACATCTTCAGACCCAGAATTAGATCCCCTTGTTTTATTTTGAATCAGGGATGGAAAGCCTGTGGCTCTCCAGATGTCGGAGGCCTCCATCTCCCATCAGGCATCATGAGCAACTGTCAGCGAGGATGGGAGGTGTAGTCCAGCAGCACCTGGAGATCCAAGGGCTGCCCCCATCCCTGCTCTAAAGCAACTTGTGTTCATGATCAGTCAGGGTAGCTCAGTTTGGTCAAAGTGTGGTGCTGATAATGATAAGGTTGCAGGTTCGATCCCCCTATGGGAGAACTGCATATTTCTGAATTGCAGGGGTTGGACTAGATGATCCTTGGGGAATCTCCCAACTCTACAATTCTATGATTCTATATGCTTTAAACTTGATCAGAGCAGCAATTTTTGCCTAATCATCATCATCTCTTTCCATGCCTCTTCTGGCTGCCCCAGGTGCTGTTAGTGCCCTGTTTGGGAAAAACCATTGAACACTAGAACTTCTTTTGGTGGTGTGGCAAGAAGATATCAGGACCCTGGATAGTTCCCAGTGGGCCCTGCTAGCTGAGCTTGAGAAGATGTTGTCTTAGCAATGACTTGAGAGTCACTTGAAGCCTTGGAAAGGCTGACAGTACTTGATCTCCCAGCAACTCCTTCCTCTGCAAGGGCTGCTCTGTAATATGTAAAGGGGCCTGTAGCCTTTTCTGTCGTCACGTGGCTTCTGTGTGGTTGTGGGGCACATGGGCCTGCAGAGGAATCACTTTCAGAGGGTGATGGAAGAGCCAGCTCCTCAGGCCGTGGCAGCATAGAGGAGGGTACAAGGACTCCTCCTTGAGTGTATCATCTGAATCAGAGCTCCTCAGGCCCACATTGGGACCCCAAGGCAGGGGACATGGGAGATAGCCTCACTGGCTTGCAGAGGGGAGAATGTAGGCACCTGCAACATGCTTGGATTTCTAAAGGGAAAATTAAAATCCTTGGAAATCCTATGGTAGATCACCTGTGTCACATATGTTGTGGTACTTATGTGGGGGTAGAGGCTTTCATAAGTCCAACATCCTCTTATCACAGTGCCCCACTGAGCATCTTTGGAATAATACTAGTCAGGGACTCCAGCACATTGCATTGGGGCAGAGCTTGTAGTGAAAAGTGGTTGGGGCTATGGTGCCAGATGGCAGCCAGCTTTGGCCCCCATGAGGAGACTTCTTCCCCAAAGAGGTGGCTAATTTGTTGTCTAAACAGGTGGCCAAGACTTGTGTGCTGCTTGCAAGATCTGCATTGTAATCATTTTTTGAGGAGATAAAGGCACTCTGCACATGACCAGAGGGCTATCCTTCTTACTTCCCGCCTCACAGGAGCAGCCTGAACCCTGGCATTAAAAAGAGAATGTGGGGCACGAATTATAACCCTCGGCATGGCAGAGTGGGCCGCGGTTAAGGCTAGTACCAATATACATTGGAGTCTTGCTGTTTTTCTCCCCTACATACCCGTTACGCCTGACCTTTTGAGTAAGCTTGCTGACTGGGTGAGGGTTTTTAAACACTACATATCCTAAAATAACGTGAGAAGATTTGGGGTGGTTGGGTAGTGGGATAGTTCCAGCTGCGAAGGAGCACTGATGTGACCTAACCCCTCCACCTCCTGCCTCCTCCTTACCTCCCATGGTCTGGCTTCTACAGCTCTTTTGGCTGAAGAGATTGGTGACCTCACAACAGCTACCATGACAACCGATTATGAAGTCACAGGCAGAGCTGTGCCTGTAGCAAAGGGCGGGGGGGGGGGGAGATATAAAGAAGTAGAGCTTTGGATCTGAGTGAAGGAGGGAGCCGATTGCTTCTCAAGACTGCCCAGCCAAGCAAATTGCCAGAGTCGGTGCTTTGCTCCACTCTAACACGTCTCTTCTCGGCTGCAGGATGCATCCTTCCCCAAGGGATCCTCAGGGGCCACTTGGCTGGTGAAGAGCCCCCGTTTCCACTGGAGTGTGCCGTGCCACGAGGGTCCACCCAGCCCGGTGCCCAGAGACAGCAGGCAGCATGCTGGTGAAAGAGTATCGGATCTGCATGCCCCTCACCACCGAAGAGGTAAGTGTCAGACAGATGCAGTGATCAGCCTGCAATAACACAGGGAAGGACAGGCTGGTTGCAGTTGGGTGTTTGCTGCCATTTAGCAAAGTGGCCTCTGAGCCTTGTCTGGAGCCAGGGACCCCTCTTTTTTGGGGAGGGGGGAGAATGGGGTACTCACCCGCTGCTGTGTAGAGCAGGCTCAGATGTAGCCCATTTCCCTTTTACTTCCAGAGAGCACCTGGTAGAGTGGTGGAGAGAGGATCCGTTTTACTGAGGAAAGATCAGAGATGAGCAGTGTGTGTGTGTGTGTGGACAGGCAACAATATAATTGGAGAAGAAAAAGGCTGGAGAGATCTCTTCCTACCAGATTCCCTGAGAGAAATATATTATAGCAGAGAACAAGGCAGGGGCTGGAGCAGAGGTTTGACTTTGGGCAGGGAGATCGGGACCCCGGGGTACATTTGCAGAAACAGACAAATTGGTTGTGGGCAACACACACAAACACACCACAACCACACACTCTCGCCAGAATTGCATATACTCGCTCTCTCCCCTCGACAGTTAACTTTTTAACAATTTCTTCAACTTCTCCTCCCCCTAAGCATCATTGGAGGAGGAGGGTGGTCTTTCTGAAGAGCGTAGCTGAAGAGGCAAGAGTTAATATTCCTCTCTCTCTCTCTCTCTCTCTCTCTCTTCACACACACACACACACACACACACACACACTTACACTTAGGCTTGTAGAATGAGATGTACCCTATGGGCAACAGAAAGGCCTCTGTGGGCACACGTGCACCCACTGGCCCTGTACTTGACAGCTGTGGGGCTTCTATGCATATCCTATACATATCCTCAGGTGGTTTGAATCTAAGCCCTGGGACCAGCCTGCTGAATATCCACTTGCTTTGCAATGACTGGAGTTCAGTACTCTGTTGTTTCCCATGAGGCCAGTTCAGATTCATTTGCGTGTGTGTTGATGCATGTGCGTGAAGCTGCGCCTGCCACCCTGCTCCTGACACAGCACGCTCCTGGGTGCCCCACCCTAGTGTCTGCATGAACACCAGGGAGCAGGGCAAGCTGGAGAGCACAGGAAGTTTCCCTGCTTAGGGACGAGATCTCCTTGCAGTGAGGGGTGCCTCAGAGCATTTAAAAGTGGAGAATCAGGCATGGAGAACCTGTGGCCTTCCATATGTTCTTGGACTTCAGCTCCCTTAAACGCCAGCCAGTAGTCAGGGAGGACTGGAGTTGAACAACATCTGGAGGGCCACAGGTGCCCTATCTCTGGTCAATACACTCTCTGGGTGAGGAGCTGGACATCCTGGAAGTACATAGAATCGTAGAATTGTAAATTTGGAAGGGACTCTGAGGATCATCTATACAGCCCCCTGCAATGCAGGGATATGCAGCTGTCCCATACGGGGATCAAACCTGCAACCTCGGCATTATCAGCACTACGATCTAACCAACTGAGCCATAGCAAATCGCCATGCATTTTGCTGTTATTACGTTTAGATTCCGTCTTTCCTCTAAAAAACTCGAGGCTGCACACACTCCCCAATCCTACCCTCACAATGACCCTGTGAGGTAGGTTAGGCTGAGAGGTGGTGACTAGCCCAGTGAGCTTCATGGCAGAGTGGGGATTTGATGTACCATATCCTTTAATCCTTTTCCTGTTTATATCCCACCTTTCCTCCCTAGGGAGCCAGAGCAGCAAACATATCAATAATAATGTGGTTGTTTTGAAAGAGCATTGGAAAAGCAGTTTAAAACATTCTAAACATAATGAATACACCATCCTTCAGCTGTCAAATGCTTGCAGAAACAGGGGTGCTTTTAACTTCCTCCTGGAAGCCGATGGCAATGGAGGCAAGTGCACTGCACCAGGGAGGGCATTCGGCATGTGGGGAACCACCACTGAAAAGGCCCTGTCATGGGTCAGCGCCAACTGGGCAGCCACCGCCCCTCCCCCCAGTGACTGCACCACCACCACCAAGGCCTCACCTGTCAATCGTAGAGTCTGAGAGGGTTGGTATCAAAGATGGCACACTTTTTGGGACATGGGTCCGAAGCGATTTAGGACTTCCTACGCTGGTACTAACGCCTTGAATTTAGCTTGGCAGCCAGTGCAGCAATTTCAGGACAGGTGGCCTGCAATCCCATTGGGTTGCCCTCCTTACTGATCTAGCAGCCACCTTTTGCCACCATGTAGGCGGCTATTTGTTCCAAAGCGTCCCCATGCCAGTGTCCCCTTGCTTGTAAAAAGCAAAATGGTTGTGTGAGAGTGTTTTCACATCCCAGCCTAGCTTGGACTTTCTGCACGCAGCACCCTTTTTATTGGAGGGGAAACAGCTGTCTGAGTTTTTGAATTGGCTCTTGGGCCCAGCTAGACTTGGAAGGAGCATCTCAGTCCCCACCGCCTTTCCTGGACAATACAAGCTCTTTGTACTACCAGTTCTCGGCTTTCTGTGTAAACAGAGGAAGAAGTCACATGGGTGTGATGCTGACACTCTGGGGAAGGTGTGAGAAATTCCCTGGGGTGGCGTTAATTGTCCTGTTCTGGGGATGCTGGACCTGCTGCCTTCAGAGGTCTTCCTGCTGCTGAGAACTCCCACTGTTCACTGGCTGCTCTCACCTCAAGCAGAGCTGGCATGCCCAGAATCGCACAGCCTGCAGGCTTGAAGGGGTAACAGCCTTCCCCCAAACTGGGGCCCTCCAGCTGTTTTGGACTACAATTCCCAGCAGCTCCTTATAACCTCAGGCTTTCCTCCTGAGGTAGACTAGCACAGGCATGCAGATTCACTGCTTGAGGGCTGCAAGAGCAAAGGATGGCTTGTGCATGCCAAGTTCATTTATTCATTACATTTATACAGTACACCCTTCCTTCAGTAAGCTCAAGGCAGTGCACAAAGTCCTCCCCACCTTTTCTTCCTCACAACAACCCTCAGAGGTAGGCGAAACTGGAAATGGCTGGCCCCCTGAGCTTCATGGCCGAGTGGGAATTTTATACTGTGTCGTTGTTATGTTTTATTTTTGCAAGACATTCAGAGAATTAATTTTATGTCTTACAAATACTACTATGCGAACATAAGAACTGGACCAAGCCAGTGGTCCATCTAGTTCAGCAGCCTAGTCTTACAGTGACCAGCCTGATGCCCCAATGGGGAACCCACACGCAGGACATGAGCACAACATCTGCTCTCCCCTCCTTCTGTTTCCAGCAATTGATAGTCTGAAGCATTACTGCTTTTCACAGTGGAGGTAGAACATAGCCATTGTGGTTAGTGGGAGTTTAGCCCCACTCTCCTCCATGAATTTTTCTAATCCTCTTTTAAAGCCATCCAAGCTGGTGGCCATCACTGCCTCTTTTAGAGCAAATTCTATAATTTAATGATGTGCTGCTGCTGCTGCTGCTACCACCACTACCAATATTAATTTGAACCAGCGTCTCCCCAGTTCTAGTTTAGCACGCCAGCCTGGCACTCTTGACTCTGCTTTTACCAGATTGGTAAACATCTCCAGATGTTTTTGGACTACAAATCCCATCATCATCTGCTGGTTGGGACTGATGGGAGTTGTAGTCCAAAACATCTGGAGAGCACCAGGTTGGGGAAGGCTGTCATCACACACACACACCCCAGCACAGTATACTGGATTATTTAATTTCAGAGCACCTTTTCATGTGGCAGGTTCTATTTCTACAATGTTTTAACTCTCTAAAAATGGGCCTTCCATTCAGGATGAGTCAGGAGGAGAACTTGCTCCTTCTCAAGATGGCCAGGGGCTGTGTGGTGGTGAAGGCCCCAGCGCCATGGTTACGCTGACAATCTTTTTGTGCTAACTAGATTTAAGTTGCCGCTCTGAGGAGGTGGAGGGGTCGGATCTCAATCTGGATGAGCTTCTTGGAGAAGCCGATTTGGTCAATGCGGAGTGACACATTCGCTCCCTTTGACAGATGCAGCTTAAATAAGCAATCTTCTTCAGTCACTCCGTGGGCCCTTCTGACACAACTTTCAAGCAGCTCCAAGGAACAAAGAAACTGCCTTGTACTGAGTCAGACCATCTAGCATAGTATTGCCAGCACTGACTGGCAGCCACTCTCAAGGGCTTCAGGCAGGGGTCTTTCGCAGCCTTTCTTTTTCTTTTCTTTTCTTTTTCCAAAAAACAAGAAAACTCATGAAACTGAACTCAGTGCCCACTAGCACTTTTGACATCACCACATAAATGTACACAGCTTTGGTTATAAACCAGTCACTTTCCAAGAGAGAGGGCAGGTTTGGTCTCTGCAACTGGTTTTTGAGAATCACAAATCAGAACCCTCTTCTGGCATACAGAACTAGGCATGCGATTCCTTGGATCTTGACCTGTGAAAATCCTAAGTTGTTAGTACTGATAAACCAGGCTTAGATAGGGATGGGTAAATTCAAATGTTTCTGAACCCCTCAACCTTCATTATTCGTTTACTGTGCTGACTGGGGCTGAAGGGAGTTAATCTGGAGGACCACAGGTTCCTTGTCCCTGAATTGAATAGACTACTCCCAGTGCGCCTCCAAGCCCGATTCAAGGTGCCTTCCTTGACAGACAAAGCCCTATGCCTTAGGCCCCAGATATCTGAAAAAGTGCCATCTCCCATATGGACCAGCCCAGGACTTGAGATCTGCACCTTTCACAAAGTATCTGAAGACGCAACAAAGCGAATTGGCTCCTTGGCAGGTTTTGAATAAACATCCACATTTATTTATTTTTACTGATAATAATCAGCTAAACAGTTTGAGGATCTATACAACTTTGTAACATGCAGAAAATAGCAATATTAGAGAAACCAAAGACTGGAACTGAGGGAAGTCGAGAGGTGGGGTGGGGGTTCTGGGGGGGGAATAAGGATATGTTTTTGGATAATATGTCTTGTTATAACTTTGAATAAAAAAAACTAAAAAAAAGAGATCTGCAGGGGAGGCCCTGTGAAATTTGTGGGGTAGCAGGGCATGACAGGGCCTTTTCTGTGGTGGCCTCCAAATTGT